GTAAATAATGGCCTAAAAATTAGTATGAAAAACGTCAGTCAGCATTTGACTTAATGATAAATTGTATTTGCTGACAATGTCATTGTATGGACCATAGAACTTACGAAATGACGACTTTAAACGAGACTGCTGATTTTCTTGTTTCATCAACTTGTTTGTCAATAATACCTCGTTTTAGAAATTATTCACACGCGTATAGCATGCTCTAGTGTATCGAATCAACTGAGAGATGTAAACCCCGTATGCAGATGATGAAGGTATATTGCTGCATAGGTAAGGGAAGTAGACAATTGAAAAGTTAAAGTCATCACCTTTATCATAAAGCTTAGTTGTTAGATTACCATTAACGTCTTTTTCTTGTAAAATATCAAAATATGAAATAGATGTGTCAGACTCTGTGGTATCTTTTATTTCAAGCTCACCGGGATATACCCTATCGACATAAGAATGGAAATAAACATTGTTAATTGACAATACGTCGACGATATGTCTTAAATGCTTATTGATTATAATAATTAAGGTAAAAAGAACTGGTAAAAACTGTGACAAAAATATTCTAATGTCTTGAAAAAACCATTTGCAGGAGCAAATTAAAGAATTCAATACATTTTTTTCAGCAGTATTTGTCGTACATGTTAATTACATATTTTTTATGCTTTCACAGGTGCATCTTTAAATTTCAACCCTTGAGATGAAACATAAACTAAACCGTCGATTTTCATGAAAGAATTGTAACGTTCCATTGAGTCCTGCTTTGCTGTCTTTGTTTAGTGAGAAAGACTCACGGTAAACATGTGACATTTCTGTAACTGTTGAATATATTCTAATTCTTTTGCCGATTCTAACGACTTTTAAAGTAATCTAACTTGTTGCTGGTTAACAGTGACTGAACATTTGCATAATATGAGAACAGAAAGCCGTGACCGTTTTCCTTACGTTGTTCAAAGGGACATGATCCGAGTTAAAGAACTTTGATAACAGAACTGCCATTATGCAAATTTTAAAACACGCAACCAGTGACAAACAGAAAATGTATAAAAGAGGAGTGTAGGAAGGGTTGTGGTGGGCTAGCGAAATAAACATTGAGGAAAAGCTTCCTGGATTAGAACAAATGACTATCTAACAGGGAGAAGAAACTCTTTCAATCAAAATAATTATCCATATAGAAGTGCAATTTCCTTGCATAGTACATGTATCTACCTTCAGCTTAATACGCTTGGTAATTAGGCAAAAAAATTATTAGGAAATTATATTCCAAGATCTGGATAATATATTCGCGCTTTATCTAATTCGATGTCCTTTTAGACGTTTTGACCAGAAAGATGAATGGAATATTTTGGCATGTATTTTCTAGCATAATAGTTCCAATAAATGTAAGGTGTCTTTGTAACTCAAGTTGATTAGGGTGAAAAATAATGCCAGAGGACTTTATGGCAAAAGCAGCAGCCAGTGATGGTTGTGTTCATCGGATGACGAAGCTTACATGTAGGTTTGTAAAATTCTGCTTCAAAAAAGAATTCTCATGTTTAGTGGACGAGTCAGAATGATGAAAAAAACAATGCTGTATCAAGTAGTACTTTATGGAAGCGATAACTGCATACTACTGCAAAGAATCTTCCTAGTAATGTTGTCAATGAACCAGAGTTATATAAATGTAGTTGGTTATGGACGTAGAGCCAATAATATAAAAACAAACAAACAAACAAACAAAACAAAACAAAAAACATCGAGCTTGAGGTATGATTATATGACAGATATTTCATAGACTGCAATTCTGGATTCGAAAATGAGATTTGGACAGATAACACACCTGATTTTAACATTGTATTTTAAGTCTTACTGAGGGTTAATTAATTTTTAATTAGCAATTACATCGTTGCTAAGAAAATGGAACCATACATGTAGAAAGAGAAAATTGTTTCGTCCGAATAAGAGGCAAGCATCAACAAACGAAACAGTTTCTTTGAAATTTATTATGTTATATAAGGAGTACATATTGGTGTATAATAAACTAGAGTAATAAACTTCGAAAAGGCACAAATAAATACATACGTTAGGGAAAAAAATGCATCATTTTACAATTAAATATAATCACATTTGTTTTCTTGGATGCTAACCATATCAGTAAATTTCCCTATACTTTCTTCACTTGTTATTTTTGAATCAGTTAACAAGCTGTATAGCAGTCTAGCTACATTTGTAGTTATAACTTAGTCTAATGTTCAATCTTAATGCAGGAAGAACCTAAAATTACAAGATGCGAACAAACGCTGAAATTTTCTTCTTTGTTACAACTTTACTGCTTAAAGACATTCAATCAAATATTCAATTTTTAGATATCGATAAAATCTGATCATTGGTCATAAATATGCACAATTAAAATAAAACTTATAGATCATATGCATAGTTTCTGAAAGGAAAAAAATCTGCGTGAATCTTCTGAGCTATTATCTTCATTGTAATGCCTATAGAAACTTATGATTAAAAATCTTGATATTTAATCCTCCTGAATAAGTAGACTCTATGCATTTGTTAGAATTTTAAAGATAATTCATACTTTCTCACATACGTATTTAGAAAAAAAAAACCCGTACTTTTTAAATTATGGCTGCTCACGTGGAGTATTTTACTTTTTGCACTTTAAACACTACTAATATGTTTACAAAGAGCAACAAACCTTCTGCTATATATACCTTGATCAATAAAGATTAGTGATTTTTGAATGAATCATGCACGTTTTCTGCATGTTTCTCGTGCATATAAGATTCTAGCACGCTCGCTTTGGGACCTAGAAATGTACACGATTTGCACGCCTTGCGATATACCTGAGATATTAAATTACACGGTTTGCACAAGAAAGAAAAATGAATGAAAGTCACATGTTTCGGCTTTTTCAGACGAGAGTCAACACATGATAAATCTATTTGACTGTTTATTCATTTTAAGTACAGTGTAATATGTATTCCAAAGAGATGTTGACGGGGAAAAGTAAAAGTGTACAAGATAAATTAACCTACGGTTTTTGGTCAAATCCATCCAAAAAAAAAAAAAAAAAAACAATTTAGTGTTTAGTTCAGAAAGACACAGGTTTCTAAATAGTTCCTCTCTAGCATGTTGATACTTATTACAAACAAAGAAGAAATGATATGGGTCTTCTGGTGTACCACATGAACAATCAGGACTCTCAATAATGTTTCTTTTATAAAGATCATAATTTAAAATACAGTTGTGTCGTAGTTTAGTATGTATGATATTAAGTCGTCTGTTACCATAACAGAAATAAGGAGGGGGTTTTCTGGTTTTTTATGTATTTTGTTTTTGAAACTACTAAAAGTTGAGCTGTTTCTTGTGGTAATTCTTAAACTATTCCATTGGTTTACTGTATCAGGAACAAAAGATTTCTTAAATATTTCAAGTCTGCATCTAGGAATAGTGTAGTCATCTCGATTACGTGTTTTGTAATTTGTTTCAACACTCCTTATTGAGGGAAAAATACTTTTTAAATAATCAGGTACCAAACTGTGATGTACTTTAAAGTTAACATAGTATTTAGTTTTCCTACTTTACGCCTCTCTGCGAAAGGTTCCCATCCTGTTTCTAAATATAATGCATCTCTTGAAGCTATAATGGGTAACCCTGTAATTATTCTCGCAGCATAAAGCTGCACCTTTTCTAATTTTTCAACATCTTGTAGAGAACATCCATCCCAAACTACAGAACAATATTCAAGCAGTTGTTTAATAAAAGTTATGTACATTTTAGATAGTGTGTTTCTACCAATATTGTATTTTAGCTTTTTTAGGAGGCCTAATCTTTGGTAAGCCTGTTTAACTATATTGTCTATATGTTCAGACGAATTGAGATTTTGGCTCAATCGTAGTCCTAGATGTTTATGAGAGGTTATGTATTCTAATTTACATCGTTGAAATTGTAGTTTAGGAAAATAATAATTAGATCTTAATGTAAAGAATAATGCTTTTGAATTTCATAAGCCATTTGGAGGACCACCTATATATCAAGAATTTCTAAATCGTGATTCAAGATATATTCAATAGTTGCAACATTATATGAGGAACATTGCAACGAGTTGTCATCTGCAAACAATCTACATAATGAAGTCTGATGATGCTTGATTTTATTTCAACTAAACAAATCGTACAATCTTTAAATCAGACAAAAGTTAACGAATAAAAAGTAATACACAATTTATCAACCTTATACTTATGATATTTTGAAATATTTACTTAGTTACATCGTAAATAATTTGAAATATAATGTACCTCTTGGGGGATTTTTCAGAGCCCTTTCTCTTTTATGACAAAATTAGAATAAGGGAGAATATTTTCAAGCTTCAAACATCATTCAAATCAAATATATGTAGTTTGGATGCTATTATGAAAAAGGGGGCATGCACATATATCAATTAAATAGCCATAATTGTGCATTTGTTCCTCGCCAACACTATAACATACTTAAGACCAACCGAAAGGGTTTAAATAAACACTAAATAATAAAACTTTAGTTAATATTACTTGAAGATGTTTGTCTGATTTACATTCTGCTTGGCAGCCTCAGTTTATATCGGGTGATACGTACATGTGCACTAGAGTTCTACATTTACCGAATGTAATATTTCAACTATTATATTATTTGCAATTATTCAACAACATCTACCTCTTTTGAACTAATATTTCTTAAAAGCTTGATTATAATGAAAGGAATATTTAACTAGAGGTAGTGTTGATCTGAAAGAATGATAGTAATTTTATTTACAAGGATTTTTTTTATTAGATGTCTTAATTAATTTGAATTAAAACTCTGCAGCTTCCACACTTCTAACTTTTATAATGCAACTGTTCCATCCACCAGAAAAATAACGTATTATAATTAAAATACATTTGATATTTCACACATTTGGGAAAAAATTGTACACTATACAGTTAAACTTGTTACAAGTTGTAGCTATTGAAAAACGGGGAAAAAACATCTCTGTTTATCATCTTTATATCGGGATCGATGTTTCGTAAATTGATTCAAAAGTGTTGAAGTGAAAGTAGGCACATGTGACGCAATGGCTTCCTTCGATGTTGAGGATATTTTTGATCAGGATGTTCCAGAAGTTGGCATAGGTTCAAAAGATGTAGAAAAACAGAAGGCAAATCTTCAAAAGGTAAGTCGGTTTATTGCCAATTTATTTGAAACAGGGGCTCGTCACGATCTACTTGTCTTCTCTATCCTTTGAACATCCATACTCCACTAACAATTTTTTAGGTTACATTCTTCTTCCTCCCTTTGTGGAGTGTACTCAAATTGAGTGTCAATACTCCAGTACTCAGGTTTGGCCTTTGTGAAAACACGGTTCACAGCATGATTTAATTTTTAAAATGTGATTCTGGAAGACTAAGAATTTGTAAAATAATCATTAACAGTCACTTTATTCTAGTCAATTGCTTCTAGTCAATTTGCAGCTAAATTAAGCAACTGCTTTTAGTGAAAGAAGACATAAAAGAACTTTGAATTTGTTCCTTCAATTAGAATGAATCATATAGCAAAAAATAACTGTCTCATGTAGGGCTGTCTTGGTTCCAAAATTTTTCGGGTTGAATCTGAAAATTTTCGGTACAGTTATGTTTTTTACTGTTCGGTTTTTTACATAGATCTATTTTAAACCTTCTTTTGATGAATCTTTATTTGTTATGTTAAATTCTGTTATGTTAAATTCACCTCGGAAACAAGTCTTAACCTAGATAGAACGTTCTATTGTTAAAATGATATTGTCCTACGGACTCGGATTAATGATAGAATTCATTCTGTGTATTGGCAGTGTAGCAAAATAAACACGGGCGATAACTCAAACTCTGTGCATTTTCTGTGAACAATCCAGAGAGTTCCGAATGTCAGCATGGCGTGTAAATTTGAAGCAAGGTAAAAACGTTGTGAAAATGAGTTGGAATTTTCATATTTATATGGATTATTTTTAAGGTTAAAAGGCATATACAATCTCAAAAGGGGTTGTTGTGATTAATTTGATAGTCATTTTCAATGCAACTCCTTTTGTTTTCTTCAAAAATCATTTTGGAGTGGATTCGCTCAGATTTGCTACATTGCAAGTATATGGGACGTATTCTAACTGTGGTGAAAGCTTGTCCTGAGATACAGTTCGATTATTCTAGTCTTAACCATGTACTTAAAGTCTGGACATCAGTGTTTAGGACTACTAGGCCAACTATTAGCTACAACCTAATTACTCTTGCTCGTTTTGATAATTATTATCATTTTACTGACAGCGTGACAGTTTGCTTGATGGGGCGTGCTAAAATTTTGTGTGCTGATGATCATTTTACTCATCGATTGGATGTTTGATTTCAGTGGAATCAATAATACTTTGCATATGAAACACAGAATTGACCCAGCAATACCATTGACAATATGACCAATCGTATTGAATGATTGTTCACTAGTATGCAGTAAACAACAATTACATGTGTTACAAGGTTTACTTCCTATAATGATGATATCGATAACTATATAATACAAATTAAATTTTCTTATACATATTTAAAACTCCATCAGGTCAAGTCGCAAAAAATATGACACATCCTTTTTTGTGGACAGAAAACGGACTTTGACTGACCACGTGTTGCTGCTGACTACAAATGCCGTACTGGTAAACAATCATTCAGTGTGATTGGCCAGTATTATCAGGGTATTGTTTTATTCTGAGTTTCATATGCAAATAAGTATTGATTTCATTGAAATCAAACATCCAATCAATGCGTAAAATAATAATCAGCATACAAAATATTAGCACGGCGCCCCATCAAGCAAACTGTCACATTGTTAGTAAAACGATAATATTTATCTAATCCTTTTGTGACAACTTGTGTTTTGTCGTGGAATGTAGTAAATTTCAGCTGTCATGTTTATTTATCACTGTTATTGTCATACATATTTCTTTGCATTTCGATGCCATTTTTTTGTTAAACATGTTAAAACCAGACCCAAACTAAACATCTTCACTAACCAAGGGTTTCTGATCCGCTACTCTCCTCACAAACCCTTGGCATATGGTGCTGTCAAAAGACGGGAATGTTTATGTCACGTGATCTTGAATCTTACCACATATGCACAGATTGCGTCATCAATAGAAGTAAGGCCAAAGTTTTTATTTTTTTTGGTTTACGATTTTCTGTCTCCAAAAAATGCATTGGGTGGTCGAAAAATAAAAATAAAAATAATTTAGGATTCAACAGTTTCATTTTAAAATACCAGCAATGTTTATTTTAATAAAAATAATACACATCAATAGTACTTTTAAGTTTTACTGTCTAGATCACATAACTCTTTTTATTTAATTTTGATTCATTTCTAACTTTAGACTGAATGTCATTTACATTTACATATAGTTCCAATTTTTGTTTGTCAATCAGTGCTTGGTTCATGATGTTCAACTTCTTTTTGTGCTCTTCAGTGATATGTGATGTGTTATAAACCTTGGTATCCCCACAAACTAAAAATAAGGATCCAAATTTAAGTTAAATTTAGATTGAAGAAAAATACAATTTAATTGTTTAACAATATCAAATGTTACAGTAATTGACATTGAAATAAAGGTTATAATAATTTGATCATGCAGCTATCAAATTTAATGTTCAACCTGCGGCACAATAGCCTAATAATTTCTCCATCAAGTCCTTCTTTAAATTTTTGTTATGTACCTGCACAGTAGGCAATGCTCATTATTTACTTAGTAATTCAAAGGGCTTTGATCTCAATTGAGTGCGAATTTTGCAAAGATTTGTATATTGAATTTACTTCTATATAAAAATAATAAATGTTTTATACACATTTGAATTTATCCAGTGAAATACCGGTCAGCGTTACTTCAACTAAGATGTATCTCTCAACACTAAATTGGCCTAACTATTATCAATGGATTTATCAGCCTATTTTGGGAAACACCATTTTTGGGGAATTGGGAATAAAATATGATCCATCTTCATCATACAAGATCAATTATGAATAAAATACTAATAAAAGTAAATTGGACTTCAATGAGTGTAAAGCATTTATACAACTTAGGGTAGTACATGTGTGTATGAGATTTCAATTTAGGTCATATAGTATCTGCTTCTGGAGATTATAAACCTCCTGCAAAAAATTATACCAAGTACACATTTTCTAAAAGTCCTCTTTTAATATGTATTAATGCATTGAAAATATATTTTTCTATCTGAAATAATACCTAAAGTCCTTACCATTCACTCGCAGGTCAATTGAGTAGGTGGAAATAACTTAATAAATCTATATAATTACACAATATCATCTTTTTTTTTAGAAAAACGGAGGAAATTCGGATTAAAAGTTGGCGATGTTTTTACAGTGTTTTTAAACAGGTGTTATGACTGTAGCTTTGCTAGTTAAATAGATGAAAATTACAGACAGTCTGACAATTTTACTTTGTGTTTTTTCAAGATAATTAAAAATAAAAGCATTGTTCACCAATTGGCAAAAAATACTGCCAAATTGGGAAAAACTGAACTCATTTTCAATTGGAAATGGGGCCGAATTTCGGCCCCTGAGAAGGCACTGATAAATCCTTGTTATCTATATGTGTAACCGTGTCTGCTAGGTCGATCAGGGTTGGGCATAAACTCTCCAATATTACGGTATGAATTTAGCCAATTGAGACATTTGCAATTGGAGAAAGGGATCATGCATCCAATAATTTATTCACTTTTTCATGCAGAAAAAGTTCTTTAAGTGTGTGTCATTGCTTTCAGTGAGGAATTACCTTGTTACATGACAGAACCGCCATTTTTAGTTTGCACGTGTGTTTATTTACGGTCACCTAAATGTTTGTAAAGGTCTCATATATTTATAAGCGCTTATTCGACTAAGATGCATTCTAAAATTTAAAACCCACCAGTTCAGCTGAGAAAAATCCGGAAAAATATGCAGGGTTCGACAATAACGGTGGACCGGCGGCCCGAGTCCACCAAAAAATTGGATGGTCCACCAAATGTTCTGGACTAGGTGGACCTTCGGTCCATTTAAAATTTAAACACCATATTGAAAAATACACAGTAAAATTCCGTTTTTTCTATAAATCGATATCCGTAAATCAAACAATTAATTCATCTATACTTGTATTTAACAATAAATAAATGGTTAAATTTGTTTTAGCTAAATATTTAGCTGAATATATATTTTACATATTGATGACTACATTAACAATAACATTGAGACGCAAGAACATTCAACACGGACCTTGAAAAAGAAGCCAGTAAAAATCGTGCCAAATTTGTTTACTTAATGCACAGAAAGGTGTGAAAATGTACACTGGGTAACAGGAAATCACTCCATGCCTGAATGCACACTGATGGCCAGGTTTAGAGATGATTAGAATTGATTGACAGCTGCATTTATGCATTGTTTATTTTTTTTTAGATCTTCAAACAGGCATGATTTGTATTTCATGAACACGTTATCTGCAGTTTCTTTTTTTCTGCTATACATTAAATCACAAAAAAGAATCTAGCCATAGATACATGAAAAATTCACGTCTTGTTTATATGTACAACTTAATTATTTGGATTTTAAATTTTATCTACCGTTGGAAGCAAAATAAATGCTGGTTTTTACCATTGTAAATAAATGATACCGTATTGAAATAACATTTTTTTTTTTTAAGATATAAATTGTATTCTGTTTTTAAATATTGAAAATATATTAAAGAGTATTGCTGAAAAACTTCTGACTTATTGATTTGTTTCAGTTGACTGGTTAAACTAATGCTTTATTAGTCTGACTGCACTGGGTACATAAGTTAGTTTCAAGCCTTGTTTAATGAATTCAAACATTTATGAAGGTCCGCCAAAATTTGAGAAGGTCCACCAATAATTTTTGACAAGTGGACCTGTGGTCCACCAAGGTAAAAAAGTTAGTTGCGAACCCTGATATGTCGGAAAAAGACATTGTTTTTATTTTCATGATTGGTGAAAATTAGGGTCGGCGGAATCGTAAACCAAATAAAAAAACTTTGGCCTAAAAGCAAATTTAAACATTAAAGTTTTTAGAGAATGATTAGCAAATTTAAACATTAAAGTTTTTAGAGAATGATTAACAAGAAGGTATCGAGCAATGTTTGCTTTTTATTTAGGATGCATATCTACATCTGTAATATAGATTCCAGGGGCCCGTTTTACAAAAGAACTTACGACTAAGACCAAAAACTTCAGTTGATTGTAAAATTATGCAGAATTAATGATTTTGTTTAAAATTGCTAGCGTAAAAGTATCTTTCTATATACCTTTTAAAAAGATTAAAACTATTTCCTATTTCATGTAAATAGGAAAGTTATTAGCAGAATTAAATTTTGGTCTTAGTCGTAAGTTCTTTTGTAAAACGGGCCCCAGGTCACGTTATTTGCACTTCAACTTAAGATTGGATCACACCATAACTATTTATAGAATGACATGTTATCTTACGGATCATTGTTCAGTTTGTGTTTTTCATTCCCAAGACTAAAGAGTCAAGATATATCCCGAACGCAGATATCGTCATTTACAAAAAACAATTGCTGATTGGGCGGTCTATATCAATCAACTCCAATCACAACTCGAGAAAAAAATCCCAACTTTTGACAGCACCATAGGCCAAGGAATTATGAGGAGAGTAGCAGATTAGAAACCCTTGGCTAGGGAAGATGCAAACTAAAATCCAGATAATGGAACCGAAACCCAACCAAACCAGGACAACTTGGTCCATGGTTTTTGGTCATTTTGGGGAACAGTGACAGCCCTAGTCCCGTGACAAAATTATACAATACCTATCATATCATGAGGGAGGTGTATCATTTCACCACTAAAAAGGCTGGACTTGGTGGGAAAAAACAAATAAAGCATCAGGATTAGCTGGTTAGGCTGATGGAAGTGGAAGTTAGCATGTGGCCTTTTAATTAAGAAATACAGAGAAAAGGAAAGAAAAAGCCCCTGAATCTGGAAGACCAATGAAAATATTAGACAAATATATTGTATGAATTAACTAGTGCTAATTGTAACGGGAACCGTTACAGATGTTCCCCAAACGGCTCCCCAAATCCCTTATGATGCCCCATTTTCTACAAGCTTAAATAAATTAGAGAATACTTTTGTAATATAGATGGACACTTTATTTTTAAGGGTATTTCATTGGAAAACTACTCCGATATAGCCATATGGGTATTAGCCAATCAAATTTCAGCGCATGTGCTTGCACATGTTTTCTACATTTTTCACTTTAATTTTCTTATAGTGTCTCACAATACATACAGTTGTGTTAAATATTAAAGAATTTCATTGAAAAATAAGAGAGATGTAACCCTTTAAGTATTAGCCAATCAGAATTCAGCATACGCACATGCAGGTCCTTGCATTCAATTTTGATAGTATTATAATGTAGGAGCTCTATGTGCCTATCCATGTCATAAATTTCATCCTGTTTTGTTGAAAACCAAGGGAGTTATAGACATTTAAAGTTTCAACCAATCAGATTGCAGCACACCTGCATGCGCGTGTTTTCAAGAAATTTCCTATATAACATGTTGTAGCACCTTATAATATATACTTATATTCTAAATTTCAAAGTATTTTGTCAAAAAACAAGGAAATTATTGAGATTTTTGTATCAGCCAATCAGAGAAGAGCGCACGTGCATGCGCGTGAGTTCACGCTAATTTGACCATGTTATCTTGTCTAGACTACTAATGTATCTTTATATCTTGAGTTTCAAAGCAATTCATCAAGAAATATCAAAGTTACGGCTTCATCAAGTATATCAGTCATTTCACTCATTGCACGCGCGCGCACGTGCATGCATGTGCGCGCAAAATGACCTTCGTTCCGAACACCTACACAACATGCCTATTAACCCTAAAAAGGTTTCATGTCAATCGGATGAGTGGTTCTATGAGAACACTCGCGGACAAAAAAGTACCGGAGAAGAAAGTAGAAAAAAAGAATGATAATAATAATAATAATAATAATAATAAGAAACAGAGTAAAAACAATATGTTCCCAAACTTCGTTTGGGGAACATAATTACCAGTATTTAGACAGCACAAGCAATGCAAGCTCAAAAAGGTTGGGCAAAATTTATTTGCCACTCTCTGTGGAATATTTTAAATGTAATTCTGAAAATTGATTCTTTGCAAATCTTCTCAATTCAGAATACCATTGCAAAGCATACTATAGATGAGACTTTGTACAGGGACACAAGTAGATTAATCTCCTTGTACAACCTCTTTCATAATTTATCCACTTTAGTGTGATTTCCGGACAGTGTGTTCCTGCTAGCTTTGAAAACCAAGGATTGTTTTAACCCTTTGAAATAGTAATGTAAACATACTTTTTTCCATGGGGTCTAAATTTTATGGAATAACACAAAAATTTCTGTTCATTTGAAAATTTTGAAAGCTAATTGTGTATGAATTTTTTGGGAGTCACTTTAACACAAAAAATTGGGGGAGGGGTGTATTTTTATGCTTTTTCTTCCTGACCATTGTCCTGAGGAACCCTAAAAGAAAGTTGAAAAGGTTGCATGCAAACAGTATACAATTTGTAAACTTTGTTTCATTGTACAGGATGGTTTTCGTGCAGGCCTCTCCGAGGGACAGGAGGGGGAACTTCAGACAGGGTTTAACCAGGCCTTCTCCAGGTCTACCATCCTACTACAGAAAATATCTACTGTCAGGGGACAGATTTGGTAAGTCTACATGTTCTTCAGACAGGGTTAACCAAGCCTTAATTTTCCTGAACCACTGTTCTAGCTATTATAGGGGGTGTCTACTGTATGGGGACAAATTCGGTAAGTAGCACCGTACATGTACTTCAGACAGGATTTAACCAGACCTCTTCCTGAACTACTGTCCTAGGGGTGGGTGTCTGTACTGTGTCATTTTGTTTTGCATGCATATTCTATCACTATTATAAAAACGTACCTCTTAATTACCTGAATAAAACTTAATTCTGGATTGAAGTATGCTGTAGCAATGCAAATACTGTGGAATTATTTTAATTCTTGAGAGTCATTGTTCATGGGCTTGTTCATGGGACGTAATTTTGTGGGTTACTGGTTTATATAGTAGATTCAATGAACCAATATGTTTACAAAATAAACATTTGTATGGATCGATGTAAATTCATGGGTATTAAAGGGTGATCCATGAAATCCATGAAATCCATGAACATTGGTCCCCCACAAACAATGATGATTCCAAAGTAAAAGGGAACACAGTACATTAGAAAATTTACACAAAATTGATCAGAAATTACATCTTAATTACTCTCTTTTATATTTTTTATTTTGGATGGATTTAAGTGACAGTTAAGACTCTATAAATGCAGTCAATTAGGGGCATGCGGACTCAACCATTAATAACCAAATTATTATTTTCCAAAGTTGTACAAATTGAAAATACAAACAGCATGTATGACCATGCATGGTACATATATTGTAACTGCGAGTAAGTTGACATTGTAATTGAAATGCAGTTTTAAGTCAAAGTGCATAAAAAAATTGTTTTGTTCAGAAGGTTTGAAAGGTTGTTTTGAAATGATATCAATTGTTTTGCCAAGGTCACAGTGAATAGAGTTAAAATTATAGTTTTAAAAATCATTAAATCTAAGAAATTAATGGGGAGGGTGGGGGTATTGACATGAGAAAACTAAAGGTTCTTGGAAAATAATTTAACAGATTACTGAGAAACTTCCCAATTAAGCTCTGCAGTTCAATATTAAAAGAAAATGACTATTATATACAGTAACCCCCCAACCCCAGCCCCCAATATGTAGTCTTTAAAATAATATAAAACACCTGCAGCATGTTGATATGTTATTCTATGATCATACAAGTCACACCTAATATTGTCCATGATTATTAACCCTGGAGGTCAACACCAGTCATTATAATAGCGTTCTTAGTAATTATGTAGTCCAATAAAACCATGTATCAACATCATTTAAACATGCTATAATTGTACGCTAATTAGTCTTTAAGCAATTAATGGCTTTTTCCCATTTCACCAAAGCTGTGAAACTCAAATTCCCATTTTGCCTCAGTGCATTTTCAGATAGTACAGTGAAACCCATATTATAAACATAGCAATGCTGATTACTAATTACGTACTTATGCAGTATTTGGTTCCTGACATGGTGTAGATTCAATTTTGTTCATAAATTCCTATTTTTACATCAGTGCATTTTTAGATTAAGTACTGTGAAACTTGTGTAAACATGTGTAAACATAGAAATGCTATATGACTATATAATTATCTGGTACTTTAAAAGTATTTGCTTTTACATTTTCTCATATATTTGACACTTTAATTTACAGAAAGTTATTTAGTTATGATCATAATGGAAGATTACATTCAGCTGATACTTCCAAATATTAAGGGCATTGAATTTTCATTATAATAAAGTTCTTTTTTTTATAAAAGTTAAAAGATGATTTTTGCTTTAAAAAAATTAATAGTTTTTTGGGAATAATTGGAACAAATATTTTACTATCAATTAAAATTTGAATTTGTACATGTATTTACTGTATACACTACAGGTACATGAGGTATATAGGGTTTATTTCGCTAATGTTATTTTCACCCTTTCAAACTTGAAAACATTATTTTTGCCATTTCAAATTTGCCCAATAAAAGTTATAATTAAAAAAGACAAGGCTGTTTTCTTTGAATTTGCCTGCATGTTTCAGTATCTCCCACTTTAGACATTAGGGCGAAAATAAAACAATCGAGTGTGAAAATTTCACTGTATACAGTAACCGAATACTTAAATTTGCAATTTAATGAAAACTGTTTTTAGATAAGATTGATTCAATCAACAATCATAAAATTTTGTAAGCAATAATATTTTAATATGCCAGTGGAATTTGTGAATTTCACATTATGACATTTCCCATTATGATCAAATATGGACTTTGTAGTACATTTATTCTCATGTTGCAATCTGCACTGACAAAGTCGTCAATTTCCATCTAATTACAAATTAATATCATTTTTATAGTGATATTCATGACAATTTTGATTTAATTAGACAATATTATTAACAAATTTATTATCTTTACTGCAGTACTTTTTAGCTCACCTGATCAAGCCAAAGGCTCAAGTGAGAGCTTTTCTGATCAAAATTTGTCCATTGTTTGTCATTGTCATCATTTGTCTTTGTTTTCATAAACTTCCATATTTTCATCTTCTAATCAAGAATCACTGGTCCAATTTCAACCAAACTTGGCACAGAGTATCCTTGGGTAAAGGTGATTCAAATTTATTCAAATGAATTAAGGGTCACAACTCCTTCCAGGGGAGATGACTAAGAGGAGAAAAAATTGGGAGGGTACGTCATTTAAAAATCCTCTTCTCAAGAACCACTGAGTCAGAAAAGATGAAACTTATATGAAAGCTTCCTGACATACTGTAATTAGTTTAAGTTTGTTCAAGTCATCCCCCAACTCCCAAGTAGGGCGGGTCCACAATGGGCCATCAAAGTTTTACATGGGAATATATAAGAAAATTTTAAAAAATCATCCCAAGAGCAACAAAGCCGTGATTAGTCATATTTACGTGGATCGAAGCATTCTCAGGGTGAGGCCATAATGGCTATCAAAGTTTTACATCGTGGGACATACATGTAGGAAAAATCTTTAAAAATCTGCTCAAGAACAGCGAAGTCATGATTAGTTTTATTTATGTTGAAGCATCCTCATGAGGTACATGTTTTGTTCAAAACATGACCATTGGGGGCACATTGGGTCCATATTGTAAAGGGTGATCAAAGGTTTTACAAAGAATATATATATTGTATAGGAAAAATCTTTTAAAATCTAATATCTTCTCAAGAACAGCAAAGCCATGATTTTAGTCAGTGATTTTTAGCTCACCTGAGCCGAAGGCTCATTTGAGCTTTCCTGATCAAAATTTGTCCGTTGTCTGTTGTCATTGTAATAAAATTTTCAATTTCATCTTCTCAAGAACCATTATGGGCCAATTTCAACCAAATTTGCCACAAAGTATCCTTGGGTAAAGGGGATGCAAGTTTGTTCAAATGAAGGGCCATGCCTTTTTCCAAGGTGAGATAATTATGAATTCGTGAAAAAATTAATGGCATCATCAGGGTTCTCCATCATTTGAAATTGAGTGTGTTGCAGACTTTACGCGAAGCATTAATATTTGCGGTATTTTTGCAATCAAATTCGCCACTATTTATTATAATTACACAAGAATACATGCACAAACACAACTTTTTTGACCCTCTAATTCGTTACACAAATGGTATGATCATACATATTAATGAAAAATAAATTAATGGAAGTTAGAATGTCTCCAATTATATATAATAATGTACATACTATAACTCAAACCACCTCCCCCCTCCCCCCCCCCCCCCCCCATCCACATTTAAAAAAAAATAAGTACGATTTAAAGAAAAATATTTACCATTTTTAAAAGTAAATTTGCCCTTATTTTTGATTAAGTTGATCAAATTACTGGTAAGTTTTTGAATTTAGAAAGGAACTTTAGATTGTTAGTAAAATGCTTTTAGGGGGTGCCTTTAAATTCTTCAACAATACATGTACATCAATTAAATGATTACGATATGATGTTTGACTCACAGTGCCAACATAGCCTCTAAGAGACGTGGTTCTGAAGTAAAGGCATATATATTTAATTAATTTTTATATATTTAAATAATATTTAAAAAATGCAACTAGCAATTATACAGTTACATGGAAATGTAACAACAAATGATTTGTCTTAAATGTTCCTTCATGCGTAAAGTCCAGCGAGGGTCTAGGAGATAATTGATAATGCAATGTGAAGCAAGACAATGTGCCCTAATTCAGAGATAATTAAATGCTCTGCATTAAAAATTGAAAGATGGTAGATTTGTTTGATTAATGTTTCAGTTAGAGAAAATTTATGTTTTGATTTTCTGATTATCACGGATCTTACTGTGTCGCAAAATTTTTTTACTGTGTCGCACGCATAAAATTTGCATTGTTACTATGTTGGGGGAAATTTTACTGTGTTGGGGCCGACACAGTAAAACAGCTCATGGAAAACCCAGCATCATTTAAAAATCTTTTAAAGAATCATTTTGCTTGAAAATATGAAACTTATATGGAAGCATCCTCAGGTAGTGTAGATGCAAGTTTGATCGAATCATGACCCCCATGGGTAGGGTGGTGCCACAATGGGCTATAAAAGTTTTACATAGGAATACATAGGAAATTTTTTAAAAAAAATCTTCTGCTCAAGAATATCAAAGCCATGATTGGTCATATTTATATGGAAGCATCCTCAGGTAGACTAGTGTAGATGCAAGTTTGTTCAAATCATGATCCCCCAGGAGAATAGAGGGGCCATAACAAGGGATCATAGTTACACAAAGGAATACAAAGGATATATCAATAAAATTTTCTTCTTAAGAACAGCAAAGCCATTATTTTTCATATTAATTCAAAAGCATCTCTATGAAGTATAGATTCAAGTTAGTTCAACCCCCCCCCCCCCCCTTCCCCAAATCACTTTTATATTTAAACTTTTCAAGAATGAACTGAATTCTGCTTTTTCCTAGCCAGAGTGCTCAGGTGAGCGATGTGGCCACAGGGACCCTTGTTTATAAGGGTGTATTTGGGGCTGGCCCTATGCATTTTCAATTAAAAATATGCATGTATTTTCCCAAAATGTAGTG